AAACATGTTATTATCGTTATTTGTTATTTAAAAAGAACAGGAGGAAGCAACAAGAGAAACCTTTCCCTTTCGATATATTCTACGTCCTACGTCATTGTGCAGCTTTGAAATGTCAATTACTTGTTTTACGTATACACGTCATTTTTTCCCAATTTCAAACATCGAAATATATAATATAAGCAGCAGTCCGTAATACCAGAAAGTTTCGCAAACTCCAATGCGGCAATAAAATCGATAGTTTCCGCACATTATTATCGTCGATATAGTAATTACGTAGAAGTTGTGCGTTTAATATGTCATTGCGGCTGTCAAGAAAGCGGAAGGGAACGCAGAATGTGATTTATATATTGTATAGATAAACATATATGATATATTTACTGGTTTTACGAGTAAGATTAATCGTATGTCCTAAGTAGTTATCGAATGTCCGTTCTTGGTAGTCCTTGATGATTGTATAGCATACAGAGACAAGATCGATCCGTCGTTATACCATATGCCATCGTAAGTAAATCGCGGTTCCGTGAAAGTTACAAGATTTTTAATATTACACGCGTGAATTTGGTGCCAGTTGTTCATGTTCATATATACGAGATATTCTACTATTATTGTATAAAATTATTTGATTAATAATAACAATTGTATAATTCGACGAATTTGAGGTCGATTTTTCAATAACAAAAGAATTTCGAGAGAAACAAAATATATTTTAAGAAATAAATCCACAAAATAAAGTTTCTGTAATTAAAATATTTTTAAATTAATTATAAGAGGATAAATTTTAGTCGTTCATTTATAATTCATGAATTCGAAATCTAATCCATTAATTTTCATATCTGTGTAACATTAAATCGCCAAATTTTCATTTGGAGCAAATTGACCTCAATTTCGCCAAAAACATACGTCGTTACAATTTCATCGGCAGGCTTTACATTCACGTAAAACGTTTACGTAAAATATTGTACCGATGACCGCTCGTTTATTTTTTCATCGTCTTTTTAATGGCGTGCGGCAAGCTTCGTAATTCGTTATCACTTAACGTCGTCACTAAATAATAAGGTTAATCAGTGTACGCGCACGCGCGCGAGAACGTGTCGTGTTGATCGTTGTAAATCGTATCGTGATGCCGAGCCTGGTTATTTACCTTGCCGACAGTTTATATGCAGGAATTTCCGCGTAAACTTCGGATACACAACAGTGCCTCGAATGCAAACTTCATGCGAAATGCTAACATGCGTTCGGGCGCATCGTGTCATCGTACATACGTACACACATATTATACGTACGCACGTCTACCCCCTGCATTGTTCAAACTTGCGTCGGCTGCATTTTTCGAGTGCACATCGAGAGGGCTTTTCCCGTGCACACTTTCGGAGTATAATTGTTGCCGTTAATCCTTACGTAGACTTATACGTATATTTATATACGTAACGCAAAGACGAACCATTTGTCTTCTCTGATTTCTAACTCTTTCTATTATATTAATTTATTATTATATCATAATATATTACACATTAATAATCTTCTTTTTAATGGAGCTTTATTTTCTCTTGTTTTACAAATTTTATTAATATAAAAATATAAAAAATATATAAATAAAATTTCGCACAGTTTTTTAATTTAAAAGTTTTTAATGCTTATTGAAAGTTTCATATTTAAATCGATGGTTTCAATTATTTTTAATGACGAATGAAGTAAACCAAGTATTTTTAGCGCAATTGCCTGGTCTGTACGTAAGGGTTAACGATAAAGAAATTATAATTATTATAGATAAATATCTGTGAAAATATCTTTTTGTTAATATACGCGATCTCTTTAAAAAGATCATCGTAATTGCAGATAGGAGAAATGTTAGACGTGTTGGAAGTTGCATTATAAATTATTTGATCGTTTATTTCATTGAATTAATATACTGAAAGCTGTCATAGAAATTAATTGTCAAGAACTTTATAATAGATGTTAATATCAAAAAGTTGAAAATTAGAAATAAACTATAAATTATATAACAATTCTCGTTCATAGTTTTATACGATTTAATTAAATCTGCTTGCGCATCACTATTTTATGATTTATTAATTATTGATTAGCAATAAATATTAGAAAACGAGATGTTTTTTAATTCTTAATTAATGTAGTAATCATGCTCAAAATATAAATTTTGGATTGATAGATAAATTCAAAACATTGATATATATATACTTTGAATGTTTTTAAATCGATTATTAAGATGCTTCGAATAAACGATCGACTACTTTTTATGCACCCGTACTTCAGGGCCGAAGATTGATGCTGTTAGGTATGCGATATAGCCTAATGTGATATTCATAATACAATATAGCCCTAAAAAGTTTATATATAAATATCTCTCTTTCTCTTTCTCTCTCTTTTCTTACGCGTACTTTGCAACACGATACGAGAATGCATGCGACACAAGACGTTTCACGGTGTACCTTAAGCAGGTGTATAATATTATACAAAAATGAAGTAAGTATTATAGTCGACCGAGAAGAAGTGCATTTGCATTACGAGAACTTAATAAAGTATACGTTAAAGAATGTTGTTCATTTTTATTCTTTATACCCGATACCTCATTTCTAAGAGTGTACTCGAGCATTGTATAAACCAGGATATGTCACATTTATTTTTCAAAATAATTATGAATGAACTAATATGAATCATTTTAATCATTTATAATAGATAGAAAATATAAAAAGTAAAATTAATACTAAAAGTTATACATGAAACATTTCGATCCTTTTTTTCTTCAAATTCTTTTTTATAAAAGAATTATATTGTTCAGTTTCTTTACATAGTACAAGCGCGTCCTTTAAATAAAATAATAAGTAAAATCCGAATTGAAATTCTTTGGGTCTTTCTTTAATTTTCAGTTGTATGTATAATATGCTTTAATTATGTACTTATATCAAAGGCATTTATTAAAAGTGTAATCTAAGTAAGTTTGATCTAATTCATTCTATAGTTCATCCATTTTAAGATAACGAATCTCTCTACTATCTACAATCTACAATCTACAGTCTATAACTACGATCTATAAATCCGTTACCTTAAAATTAAATAAAAGTTTATCTCACTCACCCACCCCGATGCACAGCAGAATAAGTTGATGTTCAGGCTACGTTGTCTGTAACATACAAATATAAAATCTAAATTATATATACAAATATAATATCTAAATTATAAATTTAAATTATAGCAGCATTCAAATGAATTACTTTTTCAAAAAATGATTATTGGATGCGTCGAATTTTATATTTGGTGTATAAAATAAAATAATAAACTATATATAAATATTTAATAAAATAATTTCATAAATTAAAAAAATGATTAAGTAAAAACTTTTTATTAGGGGATTTTTTATATGTATAAATGTTCATATAAGATCTCTTAAAAATGTATATAAAATCTCTAAGTTTCTATTGTCTAAATTGTTCAAATAAATGGACTGAATTAATATGATTTATATAATTAATATTACAAATAACGATATTCACCTTAGGGTTACTCTGCCGATGCCCGATGCCTCTCCCAGGCCTTCTTCTCCTCTCAGGTTGTCAGGATGGTCAAAGTCTAACTAAGCACGACTTTTAACGACACTCCCGCACTCGTACGCGCGATACTTTTAACAGCACTCCCGCACTTGTACGCGCAATACTTTTAACGACACTTCCGAGTTTTGTCTGTAACATACAAATACAAAATCTAAATTAAAGCAGCTTTCAAATTAATTACTATTTCAAAAAATTATTATTCGACACGCCAAACTTTATATTTGGTACATAACAATGATAAACTATATATATAAATATATAATAAAATAATTTTATACATTAAAAACAAATTTTTATGTAGAAACATTTATAGAAATTCTAGAAATATTTATGTAATATAAAAATGTGATCTTTTAACTTAAAAAAATAGCATACAAATAAATAAATAAAAAGTTATATAATTATAACAAAAATATGTTATATATATAAAGAAGCAGCATTTTTATAGCAAATATTTAAATTTTTGCAGTATGGAAGGAAGTGCTCTGAAGGAATTTTTAGCATCCCAATTTAACTTTCCGATTGCCACATGCGGATATATTGACATGACATTTTACACGTCTCAACTGCGATATGTCAATATCTGGACCACACATTTCAGAGGTTTATGGTTAAAAGTAATCATTTGATCAATAAAAACGATACGTGTTAAATCGGCGAAAAATGTTAGCAAAGGTAAATAATTTTTATAATCATATTTTATATTTTATCTTATTCTGTCTTATTCATATCGATGATTTTAATGTATGTGTATTTTGATATCATAATACGACAATAATTAATAATGATATACATAGCTTACAAGAAATCAGCGCATTCTATAGAAATCTTTTTATTTGTGTAGAGATATTAAATCTATAAATTATGAATATTTTTTTCTCATAGAAGAGAAATGCATTTCAATTTATCATCGATTTATAATGTGGACTGCACAACGTAAATTGAAATTAAATCTTACCGTAGAAAAAGAACAACTCCCAATGGGCCAATATATCTGTTCTTTTCTAATCAGAACCTAATATATGTTAAACAGATAAATCGCGGTCACTTGTTTTCTCACTCTTTTCTGGACCTTGTTTTATATATACATATATATGAATAAATAAATGAGATAACGCGTAGTCTATACTATATATAGGTTGATGATTATTACAATTTGTTTGATTATTAAATTTAAGTAGCTTTTCTTTGTCTCGAAATGGACGTAGAAATAACTGGACAAAGTTGTTAATTGTGCTGATTAAAGCTGAGAAACGTAAGGAGAGAATTATATTTCAAACTTCTACGCGTGCAACCTATGACCTACGCTAACAATACAATTCGCTGTTATGTTCGCGCTCAGGCTCAGTGAGCGCTGCTGAGTCAGTACACGCAGCGCCATCTGTCGGTACTGGAACTACATTACCGTCAGAATTTGGGGTCAACGACCTGTGAATGGAAGCCATATAAGGAATAATAGTAAACTGTAGTACGTCATAAAGAATGAATGTATATGTATCATGAATGATTTTTCTATGTTGTCAGAACTGTCAATCTATATCTGAATAATGTAATGTTTTCTTTAATAGTGCGCGAGTGTCATTCAAGTCTATTTACGAAATTTCCGTGTATATATATGCGATGCGAATTTGCTAGCGGCAAATTGGGAATAATTATTCGCCGTTTATAACCTCTACATAATACGCTTTGTGTTGCAGCTCTACCGCAGTAAATATATATTATAATTAAACTAAATGTAATTTAACCGGTTTATGCATCGATTCTATCATCTTTTCATTATATACAAACAGCTACGCCAAGACCCAAATATCAGCTGATCTGTTTTTAGGCGCATGACAAATCGTAACCGGTGGCAGAGAATTGTCGATGGATAATGAGTGAATCCGATGATACGGATGTCCTGCTCCTGATCCCGCCTGATATATTCCATATACAATCTTCCGATTCAGACACCAACTCGTGTGTTTCCGCAGATCGCGGCAAGACTGGCGTTATCTCAGAGCTGGTAGGACACATGCAATCATTAGAATCCCGTATCACTGCTATCGAATCCAGAGACAACAGTCTGGACGTTTCTGTATTAAACAATTCACTGGACTCTCAGCCAGTTTATGGCAGCGCATCCTATCCTTATTACCGACATACCTTGCCCAGATTGTCCGTAAGTCAAAGCACCAGCTTGCAAAACACTCCAGTGAAACCTCCTCGTAAACCTCTGTCTGTACCTTCCACGCCCAGTGGGTATTCAAAGCAGAACTATACTAATTCATTGAGAAATGACATGAAGTCAGGATGCTACGTCTCGACAGCTGCTACCTCTAATTTGACTACTACTAACACTCTTGCTCGAGCCAAGCATGATACTCTAACATCATATTCTGATTTTTTTGTGGTGCCTTCTACTTCTTGTGGTACTGGGCTCTCGCATGCTACTGCTATGTCTATGAAGAAGGAATCCCATTTAACTGTTTGTCCAAGTGATCATTGTACGAGTAATTCATATTGTAAACCATACAATTCTTTACATTCAGCAGTATCCGCATCATACTTACCTAATGTATCGATAGGTCAGCAGCACAATCGTACTAGAATAGTGCAAGAGATGGAACTGTCAGAGGTTGATGAGTTGCTTCAAGAAATGGAAGCCACTGAATTAGAATTATCAAAAAGAATAAATAGCACTGGCAGATATCAATATCATAACGAACTGGCTCATCCAAAATCATTGACTCAAACTGTTGAAACAGCAAGCAATCAAGAGAAAGAGACACAACATAAGCTTGGAGCATATAAAAAGTTAAATTTTCTATCATGCAGCAAAGAGCCTCAACTCACTGATACTTTAGCAGCATTTTCTCAAAAGAAATCAAACAATACATTCCCTGAAATATCATTGCCTGATTTATACAGCGATTCATTCCACTTAAATGAATCTAACAAAATGATTTCCGAATTTAAAACATGGGAACAAAGTGTCCAACAACCTATTGCAAAAGTAAATGGAATAGAAAACAGTATACAAAATGTAGATCATTTATCTAATGTATCATCAGCTACAATTGACAATGCTAAATCAAAAGAACTGATGTCAGATCAAAATATTCTAACAAGAAGTGAAGCAAATACAAACAATGTACCTGCTCAATCCAAAGGTTCTATTACAGATTCTCTATTACATATTAGTGATTCAAAATTTTCTGATGTGATGCCATTGAAAACTGTACAATATAGTAATGCAGAGCATTTACTGGATTCTTGTAAAACGCTATATAATGGAAATGTACACGATGACAGAGAAAAATCAGTATTCACTAAAAGTGCTGTACATGTTGGTACAAACACAGATCCTCATTTAAGGTATTTTGCATATGCAATTTTTACTGCGCATTCTTTTTTATTTAAACATATGGAAAAATATATTATAATACTATTAAAAGAAAAATATGATTCAAATTTTTGTAACTGATAATTTTATATTATTAATTGTTGTAAAATTTATTTGTAGAAAATATCAACGAGTCTTGTCACTTTCGGATTTCTGGGACACTCACCCAGCCAGATCACAAGAAGAAACACTTAGAATCAAATTGGAAGAGGAGAAATTTCGCAGAGAGGTATAGTAAAAAATGAAATATATATATATATATATATATATATATATATATATTAGTATTTGTTAATAAATATATATTTTGTATTTTTAGCATTGTGAACATCTGATTCAAGAATTACAGAAACGGTTGTTGGAACAACAAGAGAAAGTGGCAGTAGCGGTCAGAATTGACAATGAGAAAAACGTTTTGATATCTCAATTTCATGTAGCTTGGTCTAAGTTGAAGCAACAAGTTGCAATATTAGAAGTTGAACATAAAAATTCGCAAACTAATCTGCAGAATGTCACAGAGAAACATCAGGCTGAAATCTCAGAACTTCAGACTCAAATCAAACGACTTGAAGAAAAATTATCGAAAGCTTTAGACTTAGCAGCTGGATATAAAGAAAAGAGTGACACCACGATTAAAGAAAAAGTTGATCTATTAAAAGCTCATGCAGATGAATTAGAAGGTTATAAATTATTAGTCCAAGAAGCAGAAAATAGATATGAACAAATAAAAGTAGAATTTAATAAATTGTTAGAAAAAAATCAACAAAGTGAGGAGACATTAAGAACTGTTCAATCAGAATTAAAGAAAGAACGGTTGAGAGAGAATGAAGTACGAAGCGAGATGGATGTTATTCATAAAGCATTGGACACTTGTGAAGCCGAATTAACAGTACTCAGACAAGAAAAAGAGAATTTGCAACTTAAACTGAAAGAAGAGATAAACAGAAATTCTATTTTAGAACAAAAGAATTCATCGTTGCTTGTATCGATCGAGGACGCTAAACAAGCAGAAGTAATACATTATATCTGTAATGTTAAAATGTACTTATAAAACTTATGAAAAGATTGTTATTAATTACTTTGATTTTCATATATTATATATATATATATGAAAATCAAAATAATTAAGTATATATAATTTATCATATATATATACATACATATATATATGGTGGATAAAATCGTGAATTTTATGCCTTTCGAATCATATTGTGAATTATAATTTTTTCGTAAGTTTTATCGTAATTAGTTATCAAATGGTTTTATTAATTGTCTTAATTGCTTTTATTTTTTCAGAAATTAGCTAAAGACGAAACAAAATCTATTGTGGAGCAAAAGGAAAAAATCAGGGCAGAATTGCAAGAAGTTTATCAGAAACAGGTTGATGAAGTGGTAAAAACAAAATTACAAGAATTTCAAATGCAACTTGACACTGCTGAATCAGAATTTTTAGAAGAATTGAAAACAAGACAGCAAGTTATAGCTGAATGCGCTGCTAGGAAAATAAAAGATGTTATTGATAAGTTCGTTGCATATACACTTTTATTTACAATATCGCAATGAAATCAATATGAATTAATTTTCCGGAAATATATAAATATATTGGATTTTTCAGACATCGTTTGGAAATAAATTTATTAGAAGAAAAACATAAAGAAGAGAAACGATTGTACGAGCTACAATTAGCTCAAGCTTTACAAAGATCATCTATGTTAGAAACGCATTTGAATTCTCAGCGCACAACAAAATCCCAACTTGCAGAACAATTGCACTCTGTTATGCAAAAACAATGGCAGCAAGCTCTACATATTATATCAGGTAAGACAATGAAATGTAAATTTGAATTTGTATATATATTACTTGATTATTTCTTAATATTATTATGGTCATAATTGATATGTAAATACATATAACTACATTACAACTTACAATTACAGGTGGTAATACGGATAACTTATCTCCGATTCAGAAAATTTATGCAGACAAACATTTTAATTCTAAAGGTCCAAAAAAGTCCGAATCGATGCCAAACTGTTATACTAAACTTTCTCAGGAACCGATAAAATATACGACTCAGTTAGAAACGCAAAACCCAATGCAATTGTTTGAAGATCAAAACGAAAGTGTGATTACAATGAATTCTAATGAAAATACATCTTTAATTAGTAGAAAGGAATCGAAGAATGATCTTCGAAAATATGTAAAAATGGTAATTAAAATTTAGGCGATAATTTTTCACTAATAAGCCGAATACAAATGAATTATGAATTAATAATTAAACAATTAAATTATATTAAATTTACAGATTGCAGAAATGCAACTAGCAAAGGAAGATAAAGATCTAAAACCTAGAAGCAGCATTTCAAGCCCGCCGTTAGAATGTAGGGAAGTACCGCGAAAACATTATTTAAAAAAGGAATTAAGTATAATGAGCGAAGATAGCATCATGTGGCAACCAACTTCCGAGGTTTGTATATATATTTTAGCTAAAAATTTACATAATACACATATATATTTATAACATAACTTTTTTACCAGACTTCGCATGATGTTAGCGAACATATATCTCTTCCGGAAAAAATGATTACGAAATTGGATCAGCAGAAAAGCAAGCCTCCTTGGAAATGACGTATAGCTTATGATAATAATGATACCGATGGTGTGGACGAACTCGATTAAATCTATTAGATTAATTCGATGCAGTGTACTTAATTAGCTGTAATACTTTTTAAGCGGAGATTTTATAAGCGAGAAATATCAACATATCAATATTTTTATTATGAAAAATTTAATAAATAAATTTTTTTATACATATTTGATTCCTTTAAATTCTTACACTTTTGTATATATCCTATTACTATTCTTCTATTATTAAAATATAATACTCAATATATCATGGATTGAAAATTAAAGGATCAATGATAATTTTATTCTTCTCTAAAATTTTTTATGACATTAAATTTTATAATTCTGATAACATTAATTTAATAATCCGTAAATTATCACAGAAAAAAAGGAATCCTTGATTCAAGTATATTTTTATTCTTGAACGCTTTTTGATTGATTTAAGCATAGAATGCTCTTTGTAATCACACATTTTCATTTGCCTTAATAATAAATAAGTTTGTGTAAAGTATATTTTATTCTTAAGATATAGTCTTGTTTTAAAAATCGCATATGGTAAAAACAAACTTAGTCACATTTGAACTAAGAATTATTATATATATTTGAAAGTACCGCTTATATCCGATGCACATTTGTCACTTGTCCTTGCAATATTTATAAGTAAATTTCAGCTTCAACCAAGAATATTTTGCATTTTGTTTTAAGGATAAATTATCCTTTATCGAAAATTATTTATATTTGGTGTTATTATAAGGATAAAATATACTTGAATCAAGGCATATTTGCATTCTTTCAAGGATACTGTTTTTTCTGTGATTAAATTTTAATTTTAATGCACAAGTTTTCTTGTATCGAAATATTTTCAGTGAGTTATACTATTTCTATAGTGCCGAGCGCTTAAAGGAAACGGATGCCTGATAAAATATAAACATCCGAATGATAAAATAAACATTTCTGATAAAATAGACTCAAGACTGACGAACTGATAACAGAAAAGTTTATCATACAGCGAGTTGTTGCGGTTTTAAAACCAAATGATGAACATTTTTATACGTGCACTTGATGACACAATTAAAAATCTTTCTTTATACATACAAGATGTATGAATAGAATTTACAGTCATCTAAACAAATTACGTAATCCTGCACAATCTGTGGTCAACGTATTGATAAAATTGTTTTATTTCAACTTATCCTACAACAAATTCCGTGATTACTCATATAAACACGCTAGAGCTTTTAAACTTACAAAGATGACCTGAATAACCAGATCTAAGATTGTAAATCTTTCAAGTCTCATAAACATATCCAATAAAAATTCGATGAACTAAAATTATGTCAAACAATAATAAAAATTTAAAAAATTTTATTATGTCGAGATATCACAAAAATTCGATGCATTAAAATTTTGTCGAGACGAAATAAAAGTTCGAAGAATTAAAATTATGTCGAGATAAAATAAAAACTCGATAACTTATAAATTATATCGAGACATAATAAAAATTCGATGATTTAAAATTATGTCGAGACATAATAAAAATTTGATTAATTAAAATTATGTTGAAGCATAATAAAAATTTGATAAATTAAAATGATGTCGAGACATAATAAAAATTCGATGATTTAAAATTACGTCGACACTTTATAATAATTTAAGAATTTTCATTATGTCTCGACATAACTTTAATTCATCGAATTTTTATGATGTCTCGATAATAGTAGATATGTAGTACAACAAAATTCTAACGCCGTATGTCTTGTGAAAACTTATATATACATATTATAATTAAAGCACTATACGCGCATCGATTACATTATACTATCAATTATATTTCTTTTTATCTTAATAGCCTTGATAACCACAACCATAATCATATTTTCATATTTATAATTAATCATAATTAAAGAATTCTTAAACTTTTTTCTATTTTTAAATCTTAACTATAATTATATAATAAACATGTTTTTAATTTTGTTTAAAATAAATTTAAACAATGCAATTAAATTTAAAAAATTCGTAATATATATACATATATGTTTAATGAATATCATATTGCCATTCCAATGCATTTTAATTATTAAATGTGTATCTAATATATGTATTACTGTTGTTTGCTGACTGATAAAAGTATTTTCTAATATTATAATATTAATCTATTATAATAATTATAATTGACTAAATAAATATTCTTTCTCAACACATACATACACAAGTAAAAATATAAATAAAAATATATAATTTCTCGAGAAATATTATATTTCAATATAATTATAAAAAATGTGCACATTGTCTCTAGATCACGAAGAGTAAATAATTTTTATCTAAATTGCAACAAAATTAAATTGTTAAATTGTTGCAAACGTGACGATAACTGTAAATTAACCCTGTTTATGCAAAACTGTTTTCATTTTCTATATATTATAATATATTGTCTATATATTATAATTGTAAAACTATCTCAACTAACATTTTGCACGACACCTTACAAAGAGCGACACGATCATCAATTTTACAATCGTAATTCGACAGTGAAAAAATCGCGAAAGATTCTTATGCAAATTGCAATATTTACTGATTTCGAGCTCGGAAACATACATAAATAACAAATCTGAATGATCGACTCGCACGCAGCGAGCACTTCTCTTCAGCTATAAACGACAAAGTTTCATACGCCTACGAGTCCTGATTTCCGAGCCGGCGCCAGTCATGAGGATTCTATATGCGTGGAACAAGTTGCCGATTGAAAACGAAAGAGCAAGAATGCAAAGAGAGGGACGTGATAGTGGCCACCCCCTCTTCGTATAGTAATAGTCATGAGTCGCATCCATTCTTCGTACGGTCGTATGTGGCCTTTAGTCGTCTCGACGGTCGAGAAGAGGCCGTACGCGATCTTAGCTAGTCAGTCCGTGCGTGTTCGTGAACGGAATTTGAATGCACGTCAAAGATGCATCTCAAAACAAGACGTTTGGGATTGTGTTGGATAACAATAGCGTTGCTCATCGGTCTTCTGATCGATGCCTCTGGCGGTGTTTGGAAGAGACGGGAGGATAAGATCAAGTGTCCAAAAGTGAAGGGTATACGCAACTTTGACATATCCGAGGTACGAGATTTTTCACCACCTACACGAGATTTATATACAATTGTTTTTATGATACTCTTCCGACAGTGAAAGATTATTGAACAATTGGACCTGAATGTACCTATTAGATACATTCAACAATTTGCAATAAAATCTGGAAAAAAATTGGTTGGTTCCATATTGCATAAATGCGTTTAATTCTAATGTAAATATATTTTTTTTATATTTGCATTATAATATAATATTGCGCGAAGACATTGTCTTACATAAATAACAGGTCAACAAATCGAACTTGCTCATGTTTTCGGGGATTATGAGTTTTAATTATGAATTATGCAAAGGCACGCACTTTTGTGAATACATCAATGTTTTATTTTTTTAAGCAAAAATTTGCTTAATTTTTCTCTTATGCTTTTTTTTATTTCTACTTTAAAATGTTAATGTAAAATATGACCACAGATATTTTATTCTATAAAATCATGTTTTTAAATTTTCGTAATTTGACAAAGAACTATAACTCTCTGAAAAAAATTTCGAAAAATTATATTTAGACTTGTGAAAAGAAATTTGTTACCACATTTTGTTCTTGATAATTACAATTTTTTAATATGATTACAACTGCTTTTATATAAATCGAAATTAATTATTCCTCCGTGTTATTTGTTAACACTCGATATTATTCAATCAAGTTTGCAACACTGATTATCAATTCAAATTCGTAATTTTATCACATATGCTTTGATTATGTTATTTAGATGAATACATTGATATGCTTTATTCAAGGTGTGATATATAACAAAACAATACGAGTGTATTGATATATTATTCGCTGCTGATGCGGCTTTGAAAATGTATATAACTTGTGGAACATTTATTGTTGCCGAATATGTCTGTTGAATATTAATTTTGCATACTATGCAATGCAGGACTATATTTATTAGGCATAATATGTCGATTCTGTGCAATAGTAATAGCGAGATTATTGTTTCCCATGTAATTAACAATAGCTAGTTTGGCATGAGATAGAAAATAATAATAATTGCTATGACGTTGACATTTCTATTAAACCGCAATACATAAGTATTGCATGTTATATTATTAACTTTTTGTTATTTATTAAATAAATTTAAAATTAAAGATAGGAAATTAATAACTACAATTGAGCAAACATTTTAGTGTATTTATGAAGCTGACATATCTTTTTATGAAAATTTATAAATTATTTATCCTAGTTTTATTTGTAATAGTTTTATATTTTTTGGCAATTAAAAGAAATAATCCTGCCCAGACACCAAATCCAAAATTGGTGCATAAGATATCTTTAAAAAATCTTTAAGATATCTTTTGGATATCATATCACAAGATTTCTTTAAGCTGTGTTAAAGATTTCTTAATGATATCTTCTGCGCCAATTTTGGACTTGGTGCTGTTTGGGTGGTAAATTAAAGAAATATTGTCTCAACGTAAAATAAAAATTCGAGACCAGTCAAGTATCACATAATATATCTTATGTTTTGCCTAATAAATCTTATGAAACAAAGACGTGCAATATATATGGTATATACGTGTATAAATAATTATAATTTTATTTGATGTTTATGTTACTTCCAAATATATAGAATGTTACATTTACTCTTACTAATCTGACATTTGCAGATTTTCTTTTCAAGGTAATGTTCGGCGGATTTATTTTTAGATCAGTGGACTATTTCGAACGTACTATACATACATACAGCATTCTACATACAACCAACTTCCGTTGAATTTCTTTTTTCAAAAAACAATAATAAACGAATATATTTAAAAATGAAAAAATGCATGTGTTATTAATTCTTTAATTCTTGTATTTATGTTTAAAAATTACAAAGTAATCGAAAAATACCTGCAAAAGCAATTGATACACATTTAGATAAAGATATTTAAATTTCTTTTATTAACAATGGAGATTATTTAAAATATTAATTTATTTAAAATAATTATCTAAAATACATATAATCGCTTTATATTTTATTCTTAATGTATTTTTCAACTTGGTATACATAATTTAAGAAAAACGAAGATTTTTGCTAACTATTACAATGTGTTTTTTAGTATAATATTTAAAGCCTTTTCAGAATTGACAGCCTGTAATTCTATAGAAATAGATATTGAATCAAAATATATAATAATAATTCAAAATTTCAAAGAGTATCTCACGCTTTCGATCAATAAATAATAATTAAAAATGTGTATATTTTATTTGGATGTATTAAGTAAGATGTTTTTTTTCTTTTTCAACAGAACAATGATAAATAAGATATATTTTAGGAAGAGCACATATACTTACATAATTTTATTTATTTTATAGTGACAAAGAGGAAGTTACATTATATAGTTAGAAGACTGATAAGAAACGAGTTTAAGAATAAAAACAAAGCAATAATCACCTAAGAAATTTCTTGAACCTGTTTTTAACGTCGTTTACTATTGAGCACGATTGTTTGACCCACATAACACATGCGTTTATTAGCATATGTTTAATGTTTAATTCAAAGAAAATCAACGTGACTTGTGCGAACTGTTGGATCTATTTTACGCGAAACTTCGTACTTACATACACTCGCACATAACATCATGCACTTCTTTACAGTTTCTCGGATTATGGTACATAGTACAGTACTATGCAAGCTCAGAGGAGGCTCTTGTATACAGATGTATGCGAGCCGAGCTCTCGGTTTCGCCCGAAAACGCCGAAGTTACCATGAATTTCACTTACAGCTTTACCGATGACCCTATTAATGAGCTACTCATTGGTAACATCACATGGAAAATTCCTTCGTCGGACTTACCTGCTCATTGGGTACACGCTGAGTTTCCGTGTAAATAGTTATTTATCTGTAATTAATCTAATTAATTTTATTTTTCAATTTTTAAATTCTGTAATCGAAGAAATATTTGAATTTTTTGCTACTTTTTTAATTAAAATTAATTATTTTTTAATTTTTAAATAATTTTAATATTTTACTGTAACGTTATAAATATGAACATTTTTTCAAAACTCTTCAGCTAAAAAATGTTTTCTTACACATCATCGTCATAATAATTCAATTTTATAATAAATTTAATATTTTTTTAGATGAAGGAGTCTACAATACGTATGTGTTAGATTCAGATTATAAATCCTGGGCCTTACTAATGCATTGTGCTGAGAAGAGCAAAAGTCCACGATATTTATCGAGCTTTATCATGAGTCGCGAAGAGAGCCTTGGGGCAAACGTCATTTCTTATCTTCGAGAGAAGCTGCCTAGGTACATTAGACTTGTTTTGATATTATTACGAATAGAGTTTTCAAAACATTTTATTTATTGAACAATTTTTCAAATAATGAAAGATATGTCAAAGTGTTATTTTAGTTAATCAAGACATTTATTTTATTTCTCTCCTAATCAATAGAAAATTTGAATCATTGATTTTAAACATTCTATATTTCCGAGCTTAATCTTTTTCTCTAGTCGTTAAAAAAGGATAGATTTGTTAATTTTTTAAAATTAATTAACATTTTTATATTAATTAAATTTATTAACGAAAAGAAAATTATTCTCAGAAATAAGACAAATTATTTAAATTAAGTTGCAGCACACTTGTTATGAGATTATTAGAAATACATTTTTATCTTTTTTTAGATATGATATCGATTTGGAATACATGTTTTCTATGGACCAAACACAGTGCAATAAAACCGACAGTTTGGAAGATATGCTTATACCGGCGTCGATGCCAGCCAAAAGAGGCTACGTCAACAGAAGACACCCGTTAAAACGGAAACATAGACGTCATTTACAAAAAAATAAAGATATAGATAATGTAAAGAAAAATAAAAAATAAAAAATGAATCCAAAAAGACATGAAAACGTAAATCACCTTCAAATCAAACACCTTCATTACTTTGGGCTAATTTTATTAATTCAATTAACAACGTGTTATAATACTCTTCGTCTCTTCTCCTCTTATTTATAATTACATAATCGTAATGAACTTGTTATTGTTTTCTTTAGACCCGTCGTCTCTCTCAACATCTTAGCACAACTCACCCAAATTTAACTGACACAAACGTGCGACAGCACGCGATCATCACGATCACCGTTATCATCAACATCATCATCATCATCATTGTCATCATTATCATTAGCATAACAGTCGTCGTCAGATTATCACTCAACGCACCTAGTACTTAATTACTGGATATGGCAGCTACAACTTATAAGAAATATTACAAAATCACTTGTGACTCATTCTTCTCACGCTTTCACAACATTTTACGCATACGTTTACGCTATCACACCCCAGGCGGGCAACCCTTTTTTTTATGTCTTTTCTTTTCTCTCGCGAGTATCCCATATTACTCACAAATTCACGTTTGGCTCTGTGAAAAACGGCTCTCTGTCCTCGCGAGCGCGATACTCTGACCTCCCCGTCGTTTGCGTTTCTGAAATATATAATAATCAAGTGTGTGCCTTTGCCACACACGGCAAAACTCGCGTCTTGCCGTGGACACTCGGCGTAAAGAATAGGAAGAACGCAGCTCCTGGGGAAGGTAAGATGCGCGCTCAAAAGTTTCGTCTTATGTACGTATGTTTCGAGATTGTTGCGACGACCGAGGGATGAGAGGCTGATCGATGAAAGCCCGAGATCCACAATTTGAGCTTCGAGGTTGTTATCAATATTTAATTATCACACCGCGCCTGCATGTATACACGCATTCACTCCTTCGTTCTACGGGCATATGCATATGCAAATCACCTATTAGTTCTCCTAATAATTCTTTTAGTATTAATTAATCATACATTTAATCTTTTTTTTTCTTTAATCACTTGTAAATTATCTAATCGTTAAATCTGTATCTTGTAAATCTGCACTCGCGCGCATGCGACTGCGTTTCCTTATGTGCGTGTGTATGAGTGTCATTGTTGAATGGTTAAATGTGCGTGCGTGTGTGTGAGTGTGTGTATTGCGCATATAATAAACTTGCGTGTATCGTGTGTGAACGCGTGTGCACGTGTGTATGTGTGTCTTCTTCTGCGCGAGACTGTCTCTCTCCTCCATTATTATTTCATATAGCTGGTAGACTACCTATTTATTTGAAATTTACGTTTTATAAATATCCTATAGTAATCCGCGATTTTTTTGTTTGTTACTTCGTCATTCGATCTTATGCGCTTTTGTACGAGGGTGTAGTAAGTAATGCGAACAGAGTGGCATTGTAATTTTGACATATGTGCCCATGTGTAAGTGTGTGTATGTATGTATGTGTGTGTGTCATGTGTCAACTTAATAATCGCATATACAAGTTCTTTCGAGTGAGAGCGTAGAATTCTCGCTACCGGATCGATATCCGCCGTCCGTGCATTCGTCCGAGATGTTCGGTTCCAAGCTTTTCCTGTACAGAATATATATATAAGAGCGTCGCGATCTCTCGGTGATGCATCAGTGAATATATTTGAGCTTTTGATATAATATGTTTCATGAACAATATAACGACGAATGGCGAGTGGGCGAGTGCACGGTCAAGCGAGGGAGCGAGCAAGCCGTCCCGCTCCAACGGCGGTCTCGATTTTTATCGAAAGTACGTGGAAAGAAGCTCGGTGGGTGGTCAGGAATATAGAGGCAGAACAAATTAAAGAGAAGATTTACACAATATATCTATATATATAGGGAAAGATATAGAAAAGACGGCACTGTGAACGTAAAAAGCGCTCGTGTAGCATACGCGTATAGATTTGTCGCAGTAGGATTCCCGCGACAAGAGATGAACACTCGTTAGATATTAGTAGAAGTACTAAGACGAAACCGGCGAAGTTCTCTACTGCTTAAAGTTACAGTTAAATAACGGACGGCCGGCAGCACACCAGAGAGTTCATGTTCTGTTCTGTTTTTTTTTTATGTTTACCCTCCCTCTTTTCGATTGAACAGTCAGACGGGTTTCGATTATTACGATAGGACCCTCGTCTTTTTTCCTAAATATGTATATATATATATATTTATTTATTTACGGGCACTGCCGTGCCGCACGATCTCTAGCTTTTTTCGTTTAAATAGTTATAATAAAGTACGATAGAGGAGGCAATTACAGTTTATGGAAAGTCGACTGATAGATTTTCGCAGGGTAGGATACGAGAAGGTGCAGCCGTTCGGTTGACGTCCGCGTGAAGCATATGGAACGGCCATTGTTTGCTTTTCGTTTGGTTTTTTTCCGTAAACGGGATATATTCTTTGGTGCTTGTTGTCGCATGTTACCGTATTCACTGCACATGACACGCGTCGTAAACGACTGCCTCTAGGATGGTTGTAAATCGTGAGAAATTCATGTTAGACTTCGCTGAAACTGTGCCGGGTATGCGACAGACTGTATAGAGAGAATAGAGAGAAAGACATGCATTCGTATATAGTAGTCTCGTTCAAGAGGAGTTCCAGCTAATCGGGTTTGTGTGTTGATCTCTTTATTTTCGAAATTTTTCGAAAGCGAGAGAAGGAAGAGAGGAACCAAAGGAGAAGGAAGTGTGCAGGAGAAGTTGGTGGTCCGCGAGAAGGCGTCCGTATTTTTGTTCTTTCAATTAGACGCATTGTGACGTGATTGTCGTCACTGGTTTCGCCGTGCTGCGATGATGACGCGTTCCACAATTTCTGGAAGAGCCGACGTCTCTCGATGATGGGATGCGGCGACGACGCTCATCGACACGTCGTTATTAACTTTTCCCCTCGTGTCCCGCGACTGGTAACAATTATATGCAGCGAGATGGAAAGAACTTCGTGAACACACGGCCATCATATAGTCACGCACTCCATTCGATCGTTTCACCGTCGTGCCGATCGGCGTCGAGTACGTTTTTCCGGTTTATGTCCGATTGATCCGACATAACTGCCCTGTCGGTTCCTGCCGGCAGCTGTCGACGTCGCCGTCAGATCTTCGCGACGAGAGGCTGGATCGTGAGCCGATGGCCGTTACGGTGCCGGCGATCACTGCTTCATCCTCGACGAGCCGTTGCAGTCCATAGTGGCGATCTGACGAATCGGCGAAGACCGCTGTCAGTAGACCCAAGAAACGGGGACCCATTGGGGTGTCGTGTGCACGCGCTCGATTGCGGCCTCTAGCTGACCGATCGTTTCGTCGAGATCGTTGTTCACGATGGTCAGGTCGAAGAAGTGCCCGTACGCCTGCTTCAGCATGTCCGATTCCTTCGCCAGTCGTTCCAGACTACCGTCGAACTGAAAACACCAGCGATCTTGATTAGAAAAATCATAATTGGCATGTTTCATTCAAGTTGATTGAACTTTTCAAGATACAAAATTTGACGATAATTATTATAAGATGTTATTGATTAATTAAGTTAGAAATAATTTTCTAATAAATTGTCGAAAGTATAATACAAGTACGTACATTACAGTTTTCGAGAACATATTTAAAATCTGCAATATGTTTACTTTATATAAACTTGTGAAATTATTTTCATACTTACGTCCGTAACATTTGCAAATGCAGGCGCAGCTATGAAGACGACGTAAGGTGCAAATTCAGCAGTTCGTAAAACTTTCAGTGCTTGCGGTTCGACATCCAATATGGCCATTCTACCTTCTTCGTGAATTTTACGAATAGTTTCGAGCTTAGTTCCATACATAGCGTCTTCGTGTGTACCTGTTTATATAAAACAAATATTTTAAGTCACATTGCTTACATAATTTGATGCTTTCTATATTTTAACATTGTTTCGAAGAAAAGTCGATCTATCCTTATTTCTTTCTCATTGTTTACGATTAATAATTACTCTTTTCAAAAAATTTCAAATAGGAAAAGATTGGTATAATTTACCGTATTCAAGATATTCATTAGCGGCTATGTCTGCCATCATCTCATCGTGCGATACGAAATAATAATTACGACCATTTTCTTCGTCGCTTCGTGGAGGCCTCGTTGTATCTGCATAAGAAACATATTTTATAAATATTCTGATAAATATATGGATTTCGTGCAATTGTTTAATTTCACATTTTTTAAGATTATAAAAAATAAACTTGAAATTTTATAAAAGATTTGAGATATTTACGCGGAATAGGATAGGCGTATTTATCGGGATGCTTGGAAATAATCGTATTCTTTATATGTCGTCGACCGACGCCATGTGCTCCCAATAATACTAAAGTTTTCCGTTGGAAGGCAGGATCTATAAAAAAAGAAATAATATAATTAATAGTTATGTTTGATGTGTACGCTGCAACATTCATATAAGATTAGATTTTTGGAGCGATAAAATTTATAAGATATGTTGAAAAAGAAATTATATTTTAATAAAGGAATTCTTGGCTATATAGAAAATATAGATATTGTTTTTATGTAATATTAAATAATTAGTCGACTATATGTAAAAAAATAATAAATAAATAAAAAATAAAAATGATAAATGAGACTTACAAGGAAGCTTCACGACCTCTTCGTAGGTCACCAGATCCAGCTGGTCAAAAACGGCGTTGTGTTTTGCAAGATATTTATCTTTGTATTGCTTCTTTTTCCGGCCAAATATTGAGCAATTTACTGTAAGTAGAAAGGATCGTTAATATAGTTGACGGTGAAACTGGAAACGAAGCTATCTCTGCTCGAAAGTATCTGCCCGGTGTAAACTTGCAAATTACTGTGCAAGTGTCATGTTACGGAATCCATTATCCGTACTAACAAATCCCGTGCCTTTATAGTGTCGATGAACGACCGCTAAATTGATTTTAAAGAACGATATGACAATACTGTGGTCGTCACATAGGGAGACGAACAAATTCAATTATTTTAATTAGCTACACGGATCAGAAATATAATGAATAAAACGACAATTATTTCTTTACGATACACGTTGTAAATATCTATAACAAAAGTTTCCTGGCCAATAAAATGTTAATAATGCAATTTATCTCGTGACGAGAGATAACATGAAAAATACCATTTTTCGCAAAAATCAGTTGCACAAAGGTCGTTCACGTCGCTAAAATATCTCCTGATCACTTTTCCTAATAATTACTTCGCCTATATAATATGATGTGTTATCCTATTGAAAACATAGCACGTATCCATATGTGCACTAATGTGTTAGCAATCCTTTGAAACATTTTGGAAATCAACGAATCACGTTGACACGAAATAACGAGCTACTCTGCGAATATCGATTCCTGGGTCAAGCAAAATCTTGTCTATTGGTAAAAAGAATTCATTCTCAGTCAGCCAGTTCGAAAGAAGCCATGCCCAAAGGCACTTGGGAGTCCTATTGAGAGGGGTGTTCCAGCAGGTCACAAGATGACAATGTAAGGTCCGTGATGTAACTGATGCATGAAACCTTAGATAGGTATTATAATCGGAGCCATGATGAATTGCATCATGAGTGTTATTTCCTATGATTGTAGAGCTACTGAATATACTAGGAAGATTCGTTGTGTGCGAAACTACAACGTATATTATAGCTGCGGATGATATAGCACGACTGTGCAGGATAAACCGCGATATCTTGCCAAAATATTTGAATAGTTGAGAGCGTTAACACAACGAGAGAATATTCAAAATATATCCAATGAATATCAAACATCAAAGAGAACTTTTATCTTTATAAAAATTATCGATTATAAAAAATTATGAGACAGTTATCTCGTACAGGGACAAAATTATATTTATATTCGAATTTATATTTTTGGCAAGATGTTCGCTGACAATGAGTGTCATTATTTGCTAACATTTAGAACAATCGATGAATTATCTATCACAAGTTCCGATTATAATCGTGCTGGCACGTATGTTTATGAATGAAATCGTGCGCGATAAGCATATAAGTGCGTAAAATGTTTTGCAGCAAATGCATGCATTAAAGCACGCTATGTAAAAGCATCTATTAATTCATAACACAGAATATCATAGCATCTATATTAATAAATTATTATTAACATAATGCTTATATTTATTTTATTTATGCGCATAACGTTTTATATGTGATGTTATACAGATCTAGAATATAAAAACTTTCAACACTTTTTTATTTTTTTTATTTCTGTAATTGTGTAATTTAATAATAGTTTTTTTAATTTATATACGTAACAAATATAATTAATAATGTTTTAAAATTAATGCGTAAAACTGATTAAAGAGGCACTGAATTATAAGGAGTAAAAATATTATAGATCTGTGTTTTTTCAATAAACAATTGCAATTATGATTAGAGATTAGCTTACTGCATGTATAGCACAAATAGTTGTTCGCTGAATAATAAGCATGATACATTGTTAATATAAAATAGCAAGGTACAACGTATGATGTATAGCTTTCATTTTTATGCAGATGATGTTTTTAGTAAAACAGTAACACTGATTTATTGTTAATTTCAAAGTTAAAAATTAAATTAAAGAACTCAAATATCTTTTATACAATTCCTTGTCAATATTTTATTTTATCGAGCGTTATGAAAAGATATTTTACGCATATTTACATTATGAAACTGCGAGTGTGATATGATATAAAATGAGTTAAAAGCAAGACTGTCATTCTTTTGTGTAAACCATCAAGATGTTCGGCCGTACATTTTCGATCTCCCTTTTGTATTCATGTGTGTAGAAGCATAGATCCAGTCTATATTTCATGCGGCTAAAAATGGTCCTCTACGTGACTCTACACGTGTCTACCTGAAGGCAGAGACGTACCTGTCGAACCGTCGCAGCCTTCGGTGTGAGAAGAACATCCACCTTCTCCTTCAGCATCTAGCCGCGCATAACACACAACAACAAATATATCACTGCAGCTAATTGTTCCTGTAGCGCTAGTTTCTCCGTTTACCTATTCCTAATCCGTCTCTCATGCCACCCACTTGTATCAGCAGGCATATATAGATATATAGAGATATATACATGACAATCCAAACTTATTCTTGCTATACACGTATATTCTTCGAATATTCAGCTCTTCGTTTACACGGTAGCTTCAGAATTGCAATCCGCAATTCTTTTAATCTAATTTTTAACATTATATATACTTTGAAGTTGAAGAATTATTTTTTCACCTATTGTTCTTTTTTATTTACTGTTCTCTCTTTCTCTCCATTTTAGGATCTTTTATATGCATATATTTTTTTATTTTAAATAGTATTATTGACCGTTTTGTTACGTAGACATATATTGTAAAGATATGTTAAAAATATCAATTGTTCTTTCCAGTTTTTTATATCTAGTAACATTTCTTTTTTAAAATGCTTTACGATTACCACATTTCAAAAAATATTACGATTTAAATAATAAATATTCAAAGTAATGGTTATGTTTTTTCTTTATTTCCAGCATCTGGAAATGATAGTGTTTAGTCAAATGAAATGGTTTTAAAAATATTCGTACCTAGCTTCGAGATTCGAAATCGATATTATGTATATTTACACACCATATGGAATATATATTAAAATTAGTTTAAAAGACAATATTTAAAATAAGATTCAATATCTCTAAGCATAATTAATTGAAGCTTAGGATTAAACATTTACTGCTAAATGTATTTATTTGATTATATGTTTAATTTGTTTCACATGAGAATATATTATTGTATTCAATTTTGATTAAAATCATAATTACATTTAGCACTAAATGCGAATATATATCTACAGTTTTAGAAGTTTATTGAATTGATTTCTCTCTCTCTCTCTCTCTCCTCTCTCTCATTCAATATTTATACAGTTATATTATCAAACATCATAAAATAAATCTATTAATTATTGATTCTATTCATATTCTTGAAAGACAATTGGCAATTATTACGTGATTTAGAGAGAACTTTTAAAACGCGCAATTTTGGCGATATTGTTTTAAAATAAAAACATTTGAAATAATTTCTTTAGATTTCTTTTCCTCATACGTAGAAAGCATAAGAAGAGGAAGTGTTAATAGTAATTTCAACCATAAAATTACATAAATTATATGTCAATCTCCATTTTGTTTTTATTCAAGGTGTCAGCGTGACCCAGCGTCAAAACGACAATTATCTCTAATCCGTAGTCAGCGAATGATATGCTATTGATACGCACGATCTCATTTATGATATAATTGATTGATAACAACGATACCACATGCTCCATCGAAAACCTGTACACATCGAACAACACACAGACGACATCGTGTTTCATCAGCACATTCGTTTTTTTGGCAGCGGTGAAAATCAATGGGAATTGACTGGAATTATTAGATGTGGTAGGATGATAATGGATTGATGGAACGGCCGGCGGTGAAAGAACATAGTAATAACGATTTTCTCAATCGGTGAAAGTTTGATTTTCTGATCTGAATTCGAAAGAAATTCTGCGATCTGCTGGAACCTGTGATTACCGCACTCATTCTATTCGAGTTTTCAACCAAAATTATCGTTACCTTAAAGCTCTTAACATTTCCTACACTTCCAGAGAAGTTTTTCCTTTTTTCTTTTTAAAATACTTTAGAATAATGGTTAAAACTTTTTAAACAATGTTAGTAAATGTTATATTTTTATATGTTTAATTATTCAAAATTGCGAAAAAAAATATATTTTAGAGAATATTTTCCTTAAATATACCTTTTCTTCGTTTTTTTTTTTTTCAGGCAACTTTACCACTTCTACGCAGAATAACAATTTAACAGCAAAAATAAAAGAAGACTGATTCATATCCTCATCAAATGATGAAAAATAATCTCGACAAGAAGGCACGCCACACAAATATCGTTCTTTCATTTTTCATTACTGCATAGTATCTGATATGGGATACGCTATTTGTGTTCTACGAACAAACAATTTTACATGTAAACAGACGAGCAAATAGTCAAGTTGCATTACCTTGTTCTTGTTTGTTCTTTTCCATAGACATGCAGGCGATGCGCCATTCTTGAAGTTCAGGCGAAGGGATAAGACCCGCGGAACCAGCCGCGTTATCCTTTCGCGCTTGCCACCAATGATGATCATCCTTGCTGATGATTTGCAGAATGTCACCGGTCTTAAAAGAGATTCCAGCCTGCGCGCAAGGTATCAGTTCGTCCTCCAGTGGATCGTAATCGAATTGTGCTCGAACGAAAATCTGTCGATACGGTAAAAAACATGTTAAAACTTCTTAGAAATGGTAGAAATGTCCAGGTGTTACAAAATTACTATTAGAATTGACATCAAGGATTTCACTTTGTACATTTGACACATTAAATGAGAGATTTGAAAAAAAACTACTGACAGAATATGCGAAGTAAAAAATGTATTATATCTAATTTTGAGATATAATTGATATGCACAGTGAAATCGTTAATATCTATAGGATTAGTGAGAACAAAATTGTATCAACAACAATAAATCCTCGATCATGAGACGTGACTAAGATATCGTTCTACGGCTAAATCGATCGCTGATAAACCTACATAGCTCTGCGCTAAATATAGCGAACGAATCTAGATATTAGATTAGCGAGAGAGAAGCGAAAAATGCAATATAATAAGCACTGGCAATAGCTCTTGCAAAGAGTAACAATACGATGTATATAGAGTATGTACAATACAAGGTATCGATATATGGCAATAATAAAGAGCGCTCGCAAATTTGTTCCAATTGCAGTGTATCGATATAACACGAGGCATGTAAAATATAAATTTACATGTTATATCATATCTCGAGACAACCAGCGATCGATTCGTAGCTCGATTTCGCCACATCGCTTAAAAGTTAGGAAAAGGGGGACACGCGCGAAAACAACTTTCCAGACGAGATATGGATTCGCCGGTCTCCGAACGTCGTTATATGACGTTTTGCAATCGGCACGCTTAGTTAGGTATTATTTTATCGGCTCGAAAGGGTCGTGCGACTTTTACAGTTTCATTGGTACACTCATCGGCTCGGGGGAAATTCTTTAATTAGGGAAGGGACGCGAGATTATTGTGCGAGTTTTATATATGTCGCGTAATGCTATCAGCGCCATGAGTTGGTCATTTAGCGATACACAATACGTATTTACATGTAAAGGCATATACATAGATACACGTATATAAATGTAATTTCGTTTTTTTTTTTTTTTTTTTTTACAAGAAGCTCAAGCACTAGTTGCTGCACATCACGCAAAACAGACGTACATGTATACGCGCGTACACACGCATACCGAAGATGCATGATGCAGATATGTATATGCGACGCGGCCACTACATGAACGTGTGAGTGAAAAACGACGCATAAAGAGGTATGGGTATGATGAATAATATGGTTGCATAATGACGAGACGGGAGTGGCTTCTGATTAATGCGCGTATTATTCGTGAGAAACAGAGAATCGCGGATATATTTAATTAATATTTAATTAATATATAGGGACGCGCGAGAGAGGATTATATGAAGAAGAGCAAAAAGATTGATTGTTCATTCATTCCGTACGAATATTACTATCCGAGATACAGACATTGTAATTGTATATTGGTTTTAATTACAATTAGAAATTTTGTCTGAATATTTTAAAGTTAGAGAATATCGACGTATCGCATATAATAACCTGGACTAATTAACGCGTATGAACTAATTACATGCGTTGAATGGACGAGGATTTGAGAACAACGGTTGAATACTTTCTATGATTTTGTTCAGCGACTAATTGTTACAGTTTGATATATTTCATAAAAACATTCTTTCTTATTTGATATAAATAACTTGACATTAATATGTCATTACTTATAATTTATCGATAAATTAATATTAATCAATAATATTCGTACAGGTTTATTATATTTGTGTTATAAGTTTTACATATCGATAAAATTGCATAAAATTGTTATTAAGGATTGCCATTATTTTTCATGATATAGGACCTGGACATGATTAAAATCTGATGATAGATTCGATAATGTGAGAATAAGAAAATCAATCTAAAAAATTTACACTATGTGAAATAGTTGTAAGTTTTATGTGTATTTATAACATTAAACTGTTAATCGTATATAAAGTTATTTTTTTTATAGGAGATGCATTTCCAGGCTAAAATCAAGCCATCAAAAGGTATAAAACAAAATTCAGTAACTTACGTCCACTCTTAATTCTCGAATCATACATGACAATCGCATTTTATACTTCGCAATTTGGAAAATCAAATATACAAGAATCTTCGAAGACACTCGGTAAATCGTGGTAACATTGTGATTCCTGTTAACGTGTGGCACTTTGTCTGTAGATTTTTGTAAGCGGTATGTCTGTGCTAGCATGTTAGCAAGTGCTCTTTTCGGGAATATCAAATCCCTCGAATTCAAGCATAAAAAAGAGCCACACGTTCTCAGGTAGAATAATCACGTTTTCACAAATTACATCAAGTGCTAAGAAACGAAAAAATTTCTTTTAAAAAGAGATACATGGACGTTCAGATGAAAAATATAAGAGTTAAATTTATTTATTATTCTGTGAAATTATTTATCTGCGAAATTTAATTCAGCAAATTTTCCCTTTTGATTTCCAATTTCTCGCATGAACAATATTGACAACTTAAAATTAAAATAGCTTGATTAAAATGAAAATATTTTGTTCTCTGTTAGGTTCTAATGCATACCTATAATTAATTCCTGCATATACTACAGAGAAAGAGAGAAAGAGAAAAACTATGCTTTTTTTGCAGACTTCTCTTTTATTTCTAAAGCATTCCTCTGAGCGTCCATGCGAATGGAAATTTTCTCGTATATAGGCACATAAGCGAATGTATCGATATGCATTACTCGCGCTTGAGAACTCCTGTCGCGAAGTAGAAACAGACGACGCATAGAAAAACGTGGAATTAAAAAGGAAAACCGATAGACACGGAAGTCTGAGTAGAGAGTTCTACTTTTCAGCGATGGCGTGTATATAGGTAATAGGAGCAGAGATAGAGTATGAGGCATGTATAATGTATATATATGAATGTAATATATATATATAAAAGTAATATATATGTATATATACGCATAGCCTTCTAACTACAGCAGTCCAATCACACCAGATCAAGTGGCGGTACTTACTAACACTGGCAGAGGCTTAATCCTGAACAACTAGAGTGTTGAGGAAACAGAAAAAAAGGAAGATCAATTAATTAATATGTTTTAGAGTCGCACCAAGCGTAATACGGATTAATCGAAGGCCGCCCCTCGCATATTTGCGCGAGGGGAGAAAAAAAGTGATAAGAATGATACAATCAACGATAAAGAGCACCTACGGTTGAATCGCACGCGTCAACGCTTCCGAGATGCACGGTGCGCATTGCTGTGTGACACATGCAAGGCTTTAATAGATTCTCGTACTATTATAGAACAGATGTTTCGTACCCTCGACGCTTACAAGCGTTGGGCTCCCACGCATAATCATCCAATTTTGCCTCCAAGTATTTCATTTTCGATCAAGAAAGAAATTCATTTTACGCCAATTATTGCATATTTCTTTATTATCGCCAATTTTATTTTTGTATGTCTGCAACACCAATCTCTGATTAGAATCATCATCTGTAATCAGCGACATTTTCAATGATTAAAAGTGATAATCAGAGCAACTATTAGAATGTTGTAATAAGAAAAAATTCTGTTGTTTTATCAAAGATGTGTGTGGAAAAGTGTTTAGAGTAAATCTTATATAAATTGTACAGTTTGATTAAAAACTAGTATTGTGCAAATGTCGCCGACACAGAGGACAGTTATTGATATGCAATTTGAATTAAGCAAACAATAAATAGCAGCGATTTGTCTCATTATTGTCTGCTTATTTATATTTGATATACCAAGTGATATTGCATGTATAGATTATTGTTGTTCTCCGGTCTACATGCCCAACACCTGTTACTAGTCGACTATACGAAGTAATTTTGAGCTCGCAGTTCTGTGGCACGTGTGATGATCGTGGCGCGGAAATGCGAGTTTTCGAGCGAGAACTCTCGATGCTTTCCGTCGGGAAGTCGGGAGGAATCAAAGCGGGACTGGTACAATTAGTAACATTCTAATGCTCGTGGTTTGCGCCTCGCGCTTTTATGTGGGGGAGAGAAATTCCCTCTTGCCCGCAATTGGAAATAAAACACTTTCAAACACGGGAGCAAGCTGGTAGAAGTTCTCGTGGTTTACCTCCGATCGTATATAAAGTCCGCGATTAGGGGTTCTTCGCTCAGTTCAAAATTAACAGGACTATGCATCCGCGCGACTAACTTTAACTCGGATCTTTCGCACAAATGATTAGAGAGAGGGCTTGTTTCCGGCGAAATGTTCACAAGTTGGCGAGAGACACACTCTATTAACGCTTCAAAGTCTCGATAGAGTCTCGACTTGTCATACTCACAATGACTTCATTGTTACGTTGCGGCTTCATTAATAATTGCTTTAACATCAGGTGGATTATGGGATAACGAATAATTAATGACTTATAATACAAATGAGCGAATACCGAATAATGTGTAGCATTCGATTGAGGAAAGTGAGTGCAAAAATAGTAGATTTTAAAAACAATGTGAAACACACAAAACAATATGTCTGTACAAAGATATACATTCTGCGAATCGACTTCATAATACATATATTTAATAGCTAATAAAAAATATTTAGATTTGATTTTCATTTTATGAGTTTGATCTAATAATAATGTAATATTAACACCCTCGAATTATCTGGAAATAGTTTATCCAGTAATCATCGACAAACAATATTAAATAAATGACTATATGGCGAGTATCCTCCGTCAGCAAATTACATTTCGAAGCGTAAAATAATACGGAGGCAAATTGCACGTTGAAGTTAATTATCTGAACAAGTAAGAGAAAAAGAGATAAAGAGAGAGAGAGAGAGAGAGAGAGAGAGAGAGAGAGAGAGAGAGAGAGAGTTTACTGCGAGAGTATAATTTTTCAATCAAATATATTTTTGACAAATCGATAGTTATATCTATTTTCCGCAATTCGAGTCCCGATGGAATTCATATCCTCTCTGTATCCTGTATAGTACAGAAATTTCCATTCTATCTGATTACAAATTCCTATCTCGCTCCGATTCGGACGGGAGGAATAATGACGCGAGTTCCTTTTATGAAACCGATTCCGCAGAGCTCGGCAATGACGCGACGCGTCCCCAAACTTCTCTCAGGCCGCACTGTTCGAATAAAGTCACCGCGAGCGATTGTGCCCATCCCGTTTCCATAGTAACGTCGCAGAGGACAGTGCATGGACATGGTGGTTCAGTATGTGGGTTTCCGACGTGCATTGGAAGAGCTGCGCACTACTTCAAAGAAGAAATGAACGGGCGAACGATGGGAAGAGGTTGACGATGGTATGCTGCTGATGGGATTTTCAGGCGACACTGGGAAAGACAATTCTACTCAGTGATATAGCAGGTACTGCGCTATCGACAACTCGTCTGGTGGACTGACTGCTGCTGATGCTGCTGAATCCTCTTGTCGATTTCCATCGGGATCGGACTATCTGCTCCCGAGTGCCAGACCGAAGAGCCAAGCTTCGGGCTTGCCTTTCGGAAGGGGGAGATAAAAAGAATCGTATCGCAGTAACACACACAAGAATAAAGTCGACTGAAAATTTTGCGACCATCTATCGGGGCCAATGGTGGATCTTAATTCGACTGAATTAACAACATCGATGCGTATTTTTCATCATTGCTATTAGTTTAAACCTTAAAACCTTAATATTGAAAAATCTTAATAAATTTTAATTTTTTAATTTTATATGTTAATATGTTATTAAATATTTTTATGAATTAAATGGGATCAATTATTTGGCGTTAAACTGCGATACGTTCTTTGAAGAATCGATTGTGCTTTTGTGAAATAGTTTTTCGGTCATTTCTATAAGGGGATCAAAATTCTATATGGATCACGAACATCACAGATAATGTAGGTCGGGGTTTATTAAAATGAACAACACACACAGACACGTAGAGATTACCTATTTCATCCACGTATACTGCAAGTAACATTTGTGTGAAGTGGTGCGTTGTGATTTGGGGTAATTAACGAAGAGTGATATAAGGAATAAGATCGTAGTCGATAGACCGAAGATTTTTCCGTCATTCGCGAATTTACTCCGAGAAACCGATATCGTTTTTCAGCTCACTCCAAATGTCGCTTGACGATACAAATATTGTAGACGTTTTTCTCGCACGCGATCAAAAATGTACGTCGAATCATATTTTCGTTTCTCATGGCATATTCTTCACGAAGCAGAAAACGTCATAAATCGAAAGTACGGAGTCGCCGGCAGAAGGAGAAGATACGCACGTGCCCAGAATAAAATCTGAGAATGGCGAGATTGAAGGATCAATTTCAACAAATAGGATTTCTGTGCATTACGCGTTTAATCCGCGTCTTCTTATACGAGAAAACAGCCGTAAATGAAAAGATGTATCCGAAAAGTATCAATGCCTTATTATTAAAGAAGGAAGTTGTCTTATTAAAATCAATAATTATTTTTCAGATTTTAATTTCAAGTTTTGTGTACGCTCTCGTAAATAATAAATATTTGTTTGCATGATTAAAAAAAATTATGTAATTATAATTGAATCTATCTAATATACAAGACTATACGAGTACAATATCATATGTAGACGACCAAAGTTTGACTTTCTCTAAAGTATTTTATAATAAACAACTTTTTTCTCACGCGCGTCCTACTAATTCCGAGAAAGATTGAATTTTTCTCGAGACGTTTAATGAGATCTTGAGATGCGGGTAAAGTGATAAAGTGTCAACAACGATCTAGCGCGATCGTTGTTGCATGGTGCAAGAGCGATAAACGGGCGGTAATGGAGAATGACAATACGGAGAGGCATGTTAAACACATCTGAGCATGTATGCCTAACGGAACAGACGGACAGACAGATAGACAGTTGTTGTGTGTGTACACACATGTGTGTGTGTGTGTGTGTATGTGTGGGGGTGGGATGTGCATGTGTCGTTCGTCGATTCTCTATTTCTACGACGGACACGGACAAGAGGTCACGTTATATAGGTAACGTGCGACGACTCGTGGTGTGTTCCAGCGCGGTTCATGCTTTATTATATCTTCGTACAATGCACTGTAGGGTAACAACGCCGCAGCTGTTGCGCTCGCCGATGCTGTTGCCGCTCCTGCCTAAAGGTGCGATTGAGGAGGGTTGGGGGGTCCGAGAGTGATGGCGTCGGAAATGCAATGTGGTCGGGGCGAAAGGGGGTGCTTATCGTTACCGAGGGTGTCTCGCTTCCCGTGTAACACTTGAGAGAGATACCCCTGTCCTCGTTTTATGCTCGTCATCGCGTAACGCCCTTAGAGTTACATTGTCTTACTTGTCGTACCATATATATATATATATATATATATGTAGACGGGGTTGTTACTCATTCCGAGTGCGCACGTGTTTTGCGCAACGATTATTAGCCGTAAATGCTCCTTTTTTCACTGCGTAACGACTGTGTAACGCAGACGCACGGGACAGAGAACTGCTTAACTTCTTGCGTAGAAGCTCGTTTTCGCGAAAGACGAATAGCGTTTTGATATATGTATTATAGTAGTACGTAAGGTACTCTTATACTCTTGCCGCCCGATTTTCGATTTATCGAATGCGTACACATTTGCAGTTATCAAAAATAGCGATTTTTCTGCAGGCGACAGTCACTGAGTATCTATAATCGAATCTGTTGAGAATACGAGTCGTTCTTGTCGCGTATACACTCATTCCTTTTTCGAGCTCGTAACATTATTATAATAACGTTAAAGTAAGATTTAGTTAACGTTCATCTGTCCTGCGTCTTTCTACCTTGCACTCCCGAAAGTATAACGAAATTGTATATCTCGGAAAATATGGTCTATATACTATGCAATCGCATACAGATTTTTGTCACATCAATAACTTGAAGTTATACATCGATAAGAGATCTGCGTATGTCTCTTATAACATCTATAAACTCCCAACACATTTTATAACGCTTTACAAAATCTAATCCAATCAAGCCGTTGCATGTATGTATATTGTATGTATATATGTACGTATATATATATGTGTGTGTGTATGCACGTCTGTAAGTGTATATGTTAAGT